TCAAATTCAAATACGTTCGATTTGGAGGCAATTATTATAAGAAGACCAAATAAGTTGACAGTTTAATGGTCTTCACAATCTCTTTCTTTTTGAATATTCCTAATCCTAAGGATAACTAACTTTGAATTTAGTATTTATGGTTTATATTGTCAATCATTGATATGCTGTGGTGGAATATTCTAGTCTCTTTCATGATTTAATTTTTAATTAAACATGCAATCCACATAGTTTAATAGTAATATTTTTTTAATAAAAATAAAATAACTTAAATTCGAATTACATAATATGTAAATAAAATGGACTAAAAATAAGAAAGAATTACATCATATAATGCAACTTCAAATATAAAAAATTAAAACACATAAGAGAATTATACCTAATGAATGGCAAAACTTTATTTATAATGGATCATATTATAAGAGGTTTTTTTATTTTCAAAAAAAACGTGCGGATTATAATAAAATTATTTTATTTTGTGTTGTTCAAATTGTTTCCAGTTACACAAAACGGATCATAGGATAAAAATGAATTCTTACCAAAGGGCTGTTTGGATTAATTGCTTATATATAGTTGATATTTTTAATTAATTTTTAATAATTGATATAATTGTTATTATTCATAATTTAATATATTTAATCTGTTTAATTAGAACTAACAAGTAATAATTATTTATAAATTAAAAACCAAAACAAACAACTTCTAATAGTCTGGATTGTAGTACAATCCAAAGTAGTCAAAACAATAAAACAACTAACTATTTTTTTAACTCTTATCTCAAGTTCAAGTAACTAACCTCCCAGCCAAATGACATGGCACCAAAGCAGGAAATGCCTGTGTTTTGTAAAATAGAACGGACCAATATTTATCTGAAAGAACTAAGCTCACTATTTTTCTTTCCCCATCAAGAACTAACCTTATACTGATCTACAACATTCTATATCATATCAAGGAAAAAAATATTAAATTTAATATTTCTATATAAAAATTTATAATAATTTTAGTTCCATATTTTTCATTCCAAACTCAAAGTGCTTGATTAGATCTGAAAAGAATTTAAAGGGAAACATTCTGATTCAGTCTCTCGTGTTGTTGTATAATAACAAAAGAAAAAAAAATAAAAATATCTTCTAAAGAAGACTTAAAAGTAAATAGATAAAAACTTTTTAAAACATATCCAGCATAGAAATAAATGGGAACATTATTTTACATCCAGTGCATTTGGACTATATTGGACTGTAAAATAAAAACCATTAAATAAGGAGGAAAGCCCTCAATATTAGGGAACCACCCTTATCCAAATATTAGTGTAGTATAGTTTGAAATAGTTTAAATTGCACTACACCTTTTTGAAAACAAATTCATAAGTAATGTAAGGCCCTTTGAATTTTAAATATAGGTATTTTGGTTATTAGTGCTGGAAAGTATTTCAGGTTCCTCATTTTTTTAAAAATTTCAAAACCCCACCCATATTATTTTTTAGCAAAATAATTTTATTTGAAGTTTGAAACCCAACATTCGAACGCCATTTTTTTCTTGAAAAAGTTTCTAAAATCTCACTCATATTGATTTCTAGCTTTGAGCAATGGAAAACAATATTTATCTATATAAACTTTCAATCTTCTCTTCCTTCACCATTTTCTCTCTTCTTTTTTCTTCTCTTTCATTTTTCTTATACCTTATCCGAATTCACTTTCTTTTTTCTATCACTACAAGAAAATCCACATTTAGTGACTAAAGTATTGATCATTAAATCTTTATTTTTCGTCACAAATTATTATTAGTGATAAAATTTAAATCGTTAGTAAAATCCTTGTCACTAATGCTCTTAATGACAAATTAAACACCTGTCACAGAAAATAATTTTATAGTAATAAAAAAAAATTGACATTGTTAACAAGTTATTTATAACAATTTTATTCGTCACAAAAAAAATATTCGTCACAAATGCAATTGTGATGCAAATTTAGTTATTAATTATTAAAATTGATATTAAATAAAAACGATATTTATATAATTACAACACAAATATTTTAACAAAAATTTTATCAAAAAAATAATATATAAAATATCAAAAAAGTTTAAAAAAAATATTATTATTTCAATACTAATCAAGTTTGATTAAAATTAATCAAATCTGATTAAAATTAATCAAGCCCAATTAAAATTAATCAGGCCCAAACCAATCTCAAGTTTTATTGAGTTTCACATGTTTTATAGTGCAAAAATTTATTTTCTTAAATATGTTTTGTCGATGTGGGATATATTTATAGTACAAAACTTTATTCTCTTATGTGTTTTTTATTGATGTGAGATGCATTGATTAGAGAAAATTGACAATTTTTAGTGACGAAATATATTTTTTAGTGCTAAATTATTTGGTCATCATTGAATTTGTGAGGTATATGTGACCAATATTAGAATTTTGTCATAATTGTAATGCATTATAGTGATGATTTTTATCGACAAAAACTTATTTTATCTCTATAAATATTTTTCGGTAACGAAATATATTTTTTATGATGAATTTTTTTGTTCATCATTAAATATGTATGCATCTATGACTAATTTTTTAGATCTGTCATAATTGTGATAAATTATAGTGATGATTTCAAAATTCATTATAAATTTCTGTTACTAAAAATCATTTTTCTTGTAGTGTATTATTTCTTCACTCCACTCATATATGTCACTCTCTCATCTTAATCTTCCTTGTTCTCTTCTCTCCATTTCCTCTCCATTTCCTCTACTTTCCTTCTTTCTTTTCTCTTGTTCTCTCTATTCCTCTTCTTTTACTTTCCTCTTCCTTTTCTTCTTCATTCCTTCTCATGTTCTTTCCATTTCCTTTTCCTCTTCTCCTCAAATTTTTTTTAAAAATTTTTTGTTAATATTCACTTAAAAAGTATACTAATCCATTCTCTCTCTCTCTCTCTGAGTGTTGATATATGGTTATATGTCCATTCATTCCAATTGAATGTATTATTAATTTATATTTATTATTTTTTTCTAATTTTCTCTTAGATATTACACTAATTCATTTATTATTTAAATATACTAAAATTAAAGATATTATTCATTTTAATTTATTAGTAGTATAATTTTGATTTGTTCTATTTCTATAAACTCTCATGTAGATAACTAATTTAATTTTGTATACATTATGAATTACATGCATTAAGGTATATTTATGTTTTTTTTTTTTTGAACACTAGGAGTAGAACTCAAATCCCATACCTGTCAAACTTAGTACGAGAAGTTCTTTACAAGAAAAAGGTGCTACTAGACCGAGAACCTTCATAAGGTATATTTATGTATTTAATTGAATTTATTTCGAAAATTTTAATAAAATACATGTATTATGTAATGCTTTGTGTATGATTGGATTTATAGAGTAAAATATGTTAAATATAATTATGTTTAAACATGGAGTGTTTATTAATTTAAGTTGACTTAATTAGTTTATTATATGTGAAGTAGTTTTATTTATTCAAATTATATTATTTTTAAGTTATATGAACATTAATTGCCAGTGCACTTCGCTCGAAAATAATAGCGAGTTAAATACTTTTCCTTATCTGAACATCAATTTCCATCACATGTGAGG